TTGTCATTTAACTTTCGGTGCAAATCCTTTTTTTTGCATTCTTTCCTCATTTTCATTTTTTGTTCACTTCTGATTTAGCTATCAAGTGCGTAACTTTATGATTAAGGTCTTTCGTCTTCACGGAAGACCTTATAGTGATTCTATTGTTTCTTATTAGGTCTTCCGTTTTCAACGGAAGACCTATAGTGATTCTACTGTTTCTTATTATTAGGGCTTTCCACCTTTCTGTGGAAAGTCCTATTGATTTTCTTCTGTTTATTATTATTATTCTTATTATTCTTATTATTATTTTTCTTTCGCTGATTTTTTGTTTCGCAACTTATCGAAGAGACGCATCTTTCATATTAGTCGACTACTTAAATGATTTTCAGATTTGACCCAACGACTTCGAGCGATGACATTTAATGAAGTTATTGCCCCTTTCGCAAGAAAAGCTTGTTATCGCTACTCCTCTGAAACTACAAACCGTAGAGATACAGAACCATCACCAATGCTTTTCACTAATTGAGAGGGCTTTTCAATCTATCATTGCGAAAGGATTCATCGAAGCCTTATACAAGTTATTGCCCCTGAAGTTTTTTTTGCTGTTTACGTAAACTTGAAAAAATTTTAACGCTTAAATGTAGAGACATGGGACCAACTGAAATGGATTTTTGCATTTTTGTTCTTGATATTAAGGTCAAGGTCAGAGGTCAAGGTCATCCAAAATATGAGAAATATAGAATATATGAAGGGGGGGGGGGGTTAAACCAATATAAATGTATGAAATAAACTATTCCACACTTTCATTATCTTGTTTTCTTCATAAAATGCATGTAGAACATTTTATTTATCATAGCTGCATTTAATACAACCCACATGGAAGCTTGTTTCAGTCAGCAATCTTCTTACTGAACCTGCAACAATCTTAGGATCCGCAGTCAGGCCGCTTTGAGTCCAATCCATGTTTTCCCATATGACGACCTACATAGTACATACCATTAGCCTCGAGTCCGATTTATTTCATCGGCAACTTTTCTAAGTAGTTTAACTAAATCAGAACATTAAACACCTCAAATTAAACCTTCGAATGCATAATGCACAAAAATAGAACTACGATATGCACACTAAAACACATGTCATGTATTGTACTTCCATGGTAACTATGTAAACATTGGCTATAGTCAGCGCGCTACACTAACACAGAGACAAAAAAGAGAAAAGGAGAGAGAGAAAAAAGAGAAGGAGAGAAGGGAAGAGAGAAGGGGAAGGAGAGAAAAATTGGCCCCTAAATCGCAAAAAAAAAAAAAAAAAAAAAACCATCTTTTTTTGGAGCTGCGCGAAGACCTTTTGAACTCTACAGAGAAACGAGCCCGACAATAAATCTATAGCAAAAGACGAATTTTTGAGTTTTATTTATTTTCTTGCATTTTTCTTCTTCTTTTTCTTCTTCTTTCTTTCTTTTTTTTTTTCTTTTGAAAGCCGAATGATACGGAAACATATTTCTCAAAACTATTTAATACTGATTACTATCTTGTCTAACCAATGCAAGTATTCCTAAAGCATTATTTTACTACGTAGGTCTTCATCGGAATCCGTGGCGTAGTGGTTAGCGCGCCTGCCTTTCAAGCTAAAGGTTTTGAGTTCGAGACCTGCTGGAAAAACAATTTTTTTTTTTTTTTTTTTTTTTTTAATTTTTTGCATTTTTCTTTTTTTTTACAACTCAAATTACATTGAAACACTTAGAAAGGTGGAAAGACCTCTAATTGTTCTCTGAACAATTAGTCTACTAGTTAATATTATTATTTTTCATTTTTATTTTTTTGACATTTTCAAATCGCGATATCTCAAAAACTAATCATTCATTTTCAGCCAAATTTTCAGGAATGATGTGTTATCTCATGCCATTTTGAAATATTGAAAATGTTTACTTCCGGTCGGGATTTATTACGATTTTTCCCTTTTTCCACTAAAAATCTAGTCCGTGAATGTTCTCAAAAACTGTTAAAGGTAGGAGTCTGAAACTTTCAGGTATGATAGAATTTGTTTTGTAGATGTGTGATGGAAACATTTCGTGTGTCGTTGTCACTTCCGGTCGTCACAGGAAGTGATTTAAAAAGGGTAATTTTTTGAACTTTTTTGTTTTTCATATTTTTTTATGATGTTGATAGGCTAAATAAAGAGTCTTACAAGAATGCTTAATATGTAGTATAAAAATTGATTAACCCATACTCTAAATATTTATCATTTTTCAATTTTAAGCGATGATGTTTGATAGCGTAATGGTTAGCATGTTGAATTTTCACGTGGGCGATCCGGATTCAATCCAAAGAATGTCCGATTTTTTTCTTACTTTTTTGGGTTGAAACATAAGATTTTATCTTTACGGGGGGGGGGGGGGGGGCGCTATGTCGTTCGACGTCAGAGCAGCGGTGTTTGACGGCACAATATCAATGTCTTTTTACTCCCTCATAAAGAGTTTGCAGTTGAATTTTGCACTAATTAATGCACAGATGCAATGGTGATATGACAAAACGAGGAAAACATACTGGTACAAATGTATATTTAGATAGATACCTATGCAATTGTATCATAAATTGGAGAGTTGCCGAATTGTATTTTGAAAGTAGAATTTGTTACTTTCTCATGTTGATTGAATAACATATAGCAATTTCAAATGAGAGAAAAATAAACTTTAATGATATTTTTCTTTGATTTTAGTAGAGCAACATTCCTTTATAGATGCAAGTAATAAACAAAATAGGTATCAGATTCCTTGAGCGTCATATGGCGAGACGTGTTTTGTTGCGAAACATTCCAGTCTTTTCATTAATGTGTTACAAATTGGAATAATCCATTTTGGGGGTAAAGAGGAATATAAAATGTGTAAGAAAACTTAGCGCTGCCTTCATGTTACTTGCCCGTATACGGTATATATTTTATGTACAGTGTGATAAATATACATTCTTTGGCTAGAAAATCAGGCTATAGCAACACATTTTTTTAAATTCATTGAAGCTATCACGTACACTTATTCAATTGAAGACACATTCCAAAGAAAAGGCGCGACGATTTACTCGTGACGTTTGGCGCGAAATAATTATCTTGACCCGCCTTTCACAAATGGTCTGATGCAGTAGTGTAGAAGTACAGAAAAAGATTACACGGACATGTCTGAATTTGGAATTGCATAGAATAGAAAGTTGAATGCATAAAGAATAAAGGAAGTAAATGCACTATTTTTTTTTTTTTTTTAGTTTTTATCAGTAACAGATTATTTTCTCTGCTATCAGTTATTGTTAAAACTCAAGTAACAAATCCGATGTAAATCTACTAGTACTTGCACAAAATTTAGCTGGCTAGTTTTCATCCTATAATTCCACACTATAAGAAAAAGAGATTAACCTGCCTGACACTCGTTACTTCAGGGAATGAGTGCAAGGTAAACATCGGTGATGGCTGGTACATTGCACTAGTGTAGTGGTTTCAATATTAAAGAACAAGGTTCACTTAGGGCCTTTTTTGGCCCTGTGAATTTCAGAAAAACTGAAACTGCTTGGTTTTAGTTGACAATGCATCAAATATCATTTAGACCTTTGATGACTGCGTATCTGTCAAAAATGACGTAATTTTCTGTCTAGCCAATGCATTATGACGTCATGAAATGCGTTATTTTCCTCATATCGTGAAAAATTCTACAAAACAGCCAATTTTTAACGCTATTTTTCGATATTTAATATAGAGCGTAACCTCTGATCTTAAATATGCAACTATAAAATGATAGAACTATTTCTGAGGATTACAAAACCTGTTTTATTTTTTTAGGTCAGAGGATGCGCTCATATCATTTCTCTTCTGTGAAAGTACTCAAATATACTTATTTTCCTTAAAATTCAAGAACATTGCAATTTCATGAGCCCTGTTTTCCAAGACCTTGGCTATAAGGAGAAAATTTTTAATAGGAAATGAAAGCACTAAGTCTCTACTTTATCTTGTTGTTTAAAATGGAACATAAAGTGTTAGTCAATTAATTGGTATATCTACAGGGGCCATTTTATGCAAAAAGTGAACCTAGCTCTTTTCGGGCAACCGATCTTCGTTTAATCCTGATTATATCTGAATTTTTCGCTTAAATTTACGTTTTCATCTTTATTAATGATGTTGAACTTTGTTTTTCTCTTTGTGAATTCTGTGCTCTTTTTATTTTTTTTCTTATAAATAAAAAAATCTTTTTAAAGACCCATGTTAAATTTTTAGATGTCTTTACAACGAGCAGATATAAAAAGTAATTTTACGTGCAAAATTTTACGAGCCACGAATTTCACAATTCTAGAAGATGCACTCTTGATCATCATTACAATGTTCTAAGTTTATCTAATAAATTCCTAGGATCAGAGAATAAAATTTTGAAAGAATAAATGCATTTTTATTATATAGTTAATAGAGTCACACCCTACATGTAACATCAATACCCATGACCCAGGGACCATGAAATTCACAATTTTGGAAGAGGCACCCTTGCTCATCATAACTTTATTTTTGGTTTGTTTGCTTAATACACAAGAACAGAAACGAAGATTTTTGAAGAAATAATGCATTTTCATTTTATAATCAATACAGCCCCACCCTTCAGCAGAACCCTTTACCCAGGGACCATTAAATTCACAATTTTGGAAGAAGCACCTTGCTCATGGGTTGATTGCTTAGTTCACAGGATCAGAAAAGAAGATTTTAAAAGAATAAATGCATATTCACTAAATAATCAATAGAGCCCCTGCATAACCCCTCACCAAGGGGTAACAAATTTCACAATTTCAGAAGATGCACCCATGATCATCATAATCATGCATCTAGTTTATTTTATTAATATACTGGGGACAGAAGAAGATTTAAAAAAAAAAATGTTTGCATTTTCACTGTACAATCATTAGAGCTCCACCCTTACTCCAGAACACCATGACCAATTGCATGGGCCATGAATTTCAAAAAAATTGATAGAAGGCTATATGCTTAATACAATCATGCCAACAGTTTGCTTGATATCCAAGAGTAAGAAAGATTTTTAAAGATAGCTCTAATTTTGATGGTTTTAGTCCAACCTTTACACTACTGGCCTAAATTATTACTGATAGTGCCTAAATTGAAACTGATTTATTACGTCCTTTTAAGCCTACTTCACCGATTGCAATAATACAGCTCTTTAGGAACTAAAGAACAGGATGAAGAGGAGGTGGGGGGGGGCAGGATGAATCTTCTTACAGAAAGAGAAATAGTCAAGTTTTTCAAATATATAATTACATAAAAATAATTTTTTATGAAAAAATGTATACTTTCCTTGCTGTCACTCAAGTTACAAATTCTAAATATCTACGGCTTACAGCAAATATCAGTAATTATCAGAACCCACAGTAAAAACGACAGTAAATATCAGTAATTATCAGAACCAACAGCAATTATCAGTAACAACACTAAAAATATCAGCAAATATCAGAAATTCTCAGTACCAACAGTATAATATCAGTAAATATCAGAAATTATCAGTAAAAAGTGGCACTATCAGTAATGTTTTAGGCCAGTAGTGTTAAGGCTTCGGAAGGGCAGGGATTATAAAATTCACAATTTTTGTTCCCCTTTACTCAAAGACATTCTATGCCAAAATCGGTTCAGTGCTTTCAGAGAAGAAGCTGATAGTGTTCAAATGTTAACGCACGACGGCCGAAAACAGATAGCAGTTGGTCAACTGAGTGACTCACGGGACCTAATAAACGATTTTCCAAAAGAACTAAAACTGTCAACAATATCGAGTGTTGTTTACGGAGATCGCATATGAATGAAAACTACGCGAAATCTATGGAACATGCATGACGAGGGATCCCTCGTGGCTTTTGTAATTACAATTAATAGACGAAAATAATTCCTTTATCATTGTAAATATATAAAAAAAAATGCATTGATTTTTGTACTTCAAGTGTGATCTTTTATCGCTACCTTGCTGAAATATTCGGGAGCATATAGTAATTACATTAACCGTCTGTCCATCAAGACGTTTTCAAACAGAAAAGAAAATATTCTTTTTCGATGTTCATCTATGAGTGTCCGTCCTCTCTTAGGACACGTAGTTGTGAAACGTGCAGAGACACTATTCATGATCAATTAAATGAAAAAAGACATATTATTTAGATGGTTATATTGCTTTGTCTGTTCTGTAATATGTATATCTGCTGAATGTATGTCTTTTGTGATTACATTTTATAATTTATAATAAAAACATTTTTTTAACACAGCTATGTTAAGGCTTCCGGAAGGTTTAAAATGCGCTCAAAAAATAATATGTCATTGCGAGGTCAGTTTTGGTTTTAATTTATAAGTATTGAACTTAAGTACTCCCAATTTATATAGATGGTTTACTCGGCTATATATTAACATATTTGTTATGATATCACATGACTTTGCTGATCACGTGACGGTCATTTATAATTTTTTGAAGTGTTTCATATAAATCGCTTCGGCGCAGCTGATTAACACAATAATTATTAACATTTTGTTATATAAATAAACTCATCGTATCCTTGTGTATCGGAAATGTGCTTGGGAAAAGTCATAGTATTACTTAGATACAAAATATTTCTTGAGATATTCAACTTACCTACAAATTTGAGGGTATTTTCCACATAATATCGTAATCTGTATTAAAATAAAGCCAACACACATTTTTCCCAAGCAAGATTCAGTTAGAGAACATCCTCTTCTTACTGATTTCCACAAAAATTCTCAGATTAATCCTCATTAATCACCTGAGCCAGACTCTTTTATACACACAAAATAAATTCTACCTCCAACCACGGGTATAAAACAGAGTACATTTCAAAAGTATATTTTTCATAAGCATTTTGAACATGCTGAGTTTCAGTCAAAGGTAGGTAAGCGGTGTATTTTTAAATTATTCGGACATATACGACTTAAAAAACCTTTAACGACCCGTAAATTTTGCAATAGCTATCTAGCATGTTACATGCAGTTTGAAATAAAGTGTAGAGTACATGACACTCTCCCCGTCATAACACCCCAAGTTTGCAGTGACTTGACGTCATATTCCATTATGACGTCATATTCTGGTAGTTCAGAGATGTGAAGGCACAGAGTGCACTGTGATATTCTACGGAAAGCCTTAACGTACCTGCGAAATCAAAACAGTTGCTAATTCTGTAACGGGATGACCCCAAAGGGGTCTTTCGTAACAATTTAATGATTTGTTGAGAATTACTGATCTCTCAAGTTTGCATCTCGATCTGTATATGTATGATTGTTTGTATCTCGAATCTATTCAGTGCAAATGTATTAACATTTTGTCCATAATTCATTCATAATTATTATATGTAATAAGAAGGTGTTTCAAAATATTTTCTTCTTCAGAAAGGAACACTCAATGCTGTGGAAATCAGTTAATATCGACAAAAAATGGTTGCTGTAATGAAATAACTCCTTTCAACAAGACTATATCAGCTTGCGAAAAAAACCAAATTGTTCCACGGTTCCATGACTTTTGCAATGGAATACTATACGATAAAGGGAAACAGATATGCTGCGACGAATCCGAACTCTACAACAAATCCTCTTTTGACAGACATTTCCGTTGCTGCGGGGAGTCTTTGTTTGATAACAGGCGGGAACAGTGCTGTAAATTGGCAGGTATAACCGAAGTCCAGTCCTCAAATGGGCACTGTTGTGGGACAGGTGAGTTATCAAAATAATGTGACATAAAATGGTAGAAAGACATTTTATGATGAAACTTTTTAATCGATTTGCTTCTCTTCAGATTAAATGTAATGTTCATTATCGTAGAAAAACCCATGATTGATGCACAATTTCATTTGTACAGATCGAAAAGCTTGATTTTCACAACTTAATATTTGTATATTAGAACTCCGAAGCCGGTTAATTTCTTGTAGGTGTTTACAATTCCTCCAGTCAAATCTGTTGTTGTAACAACGTATACGACTCATCAAATGGAACAATTCAATGTTGTGGGAACGGTTCATATGACAAAAGACAACAAACATGCTGTCATGGTACGTTTCCTAATAGGTACATGTATATATATTGGCCATTATATTTTTTTTAAAGTTATCAAAAAAGGAGTCAATATAATTTTATTATTATCTTCCATGTATAAAAATGGATGCTTTTTTTTCAGGTAAAGTGCATAACATAAAACACGTGAACGACCCTAAATGTTGTGGTAAAGACGTATATTCAACAACGTCACACTTATGCTGCAGTGGTGACTAAATAATAAAGAAAAATGCTTCTGACCACGATCAATGCTGTCTTCGGAATTCAGAGTTCTACTCCTGCAAACATCAGCCAAGGAGACCATCGATAATTTGTGGGTACCAGCGGTATAACAGTCAGACAGATCTTTGCTGCAATAATCAGGTCCACAAGGGCGCCAAGGAAACTGGAAGAGAATGCTGTCACCCAGGAAAAAGGGATTATGATCCAATAAATGAGAAATGTTGTCATGGTTTGGTGAAAAGTATTGCTGAGAGGTAACTAGCTCCCCTCCCCTCCCCCACCCCGTCCCTTTTCTCTCATTTATCCTGGCACTCTTTGGGGTTTTGATAATACTGTCAGTAATCATGTAATTCATTTTTTTTGTAACAGTAGCATGATTCGTGAGATCAACATCTAATTTTAATTTCATTGTTCTGGTCATAAATTTACTGTGAATTTAATCTTAGTTGCAGTGAGCAGTCGGACACCCCCAGCTCCTCCACACAAAGTAGCATTTGTAGTGAAAACCTCCCCTCCCCTCCCCCACCCCGTCCCTTTTCTCTCATTTATCCTGGCACTCTTTGGGGTTTTGATAATACTGTCAGTAATCATGTAATTCATTTTTTTTGTAACAGTAGCATGATTCGTGAGATCAACATCTAATTTTAATTTCATTGTTCTGGTCATAAATTTACTGTGAATTTAATCTTAGTTGCAGTGAGCACTCGGACACCCCCAGCTCCTCCACACAAAGTAGCATTTGTAGTGAAAACCTCACCTCCCCTCCCCCACCCCGTCCCTTTTCTCTCATTTATCCTGGCACTCTTTGGGGTTTTGATAATACTGTCAGTAATCATGTAATTCATTTTTTTTGTAACAGTAGCATGATTCGTGAGATCAACATCTAATTTTAATTTCATTGTTCTGGTCATAAATTTACTGTGAATTTAATCTTAGTTGCAGTGAGCAGTCGGACACCCCCAGCTCCTCCACACAAAGTAGCATTTGTAGTGAAAACCTCACCTCCCCTCCCCCACCCCGTCCCTTTCCTTTCATTTATCCTGGCACTCTTTGGGGTTTTGATAGATACTGTCAGTAATCATGTAATTCATTTTTTTTTATAACAGTAGCATGATTCGTGAGATCAACATCTAATTTTGATTTCATCGTTCTGGTCATAAATTTACAGTGAATTTAATTTTAGTTGCAGTGAGCAGTCGGACACCCCCAGCTCCTCCACAAAAAGTAGCAGTTGTAGTTTTATCTCTCAAAAGTGGACTACTTGGAATATGAGAAAATCTGTGAACATCGGCAGTCTAGATATTTGTAGGAGAAATGGCGAGAAACATAATGCAGGCACGTAGTATCGGGGGGAGGGGGCACTTTTTTCCAAACATTACTATTTACTATTGAAAATTTTGATTGAAAGGCTGGTTGCCGCCCACTTAATTTTTGTTGCAGTATAATCAAATCAGGGTAATACTAGTATGGTAACGTATGAACTGAATTTGGTTATGAAAGAAAAGTTGGAGCCTACAATTTTTGTCTTTGCTTGCTATAGTTTTTTTTTCCAGACAAGTTGATTTTTTTCTCTCTCTGGCTGCCCATTTTCAAAAACGATACTACGTGCCTGTAAAGTGTGCATCTTTATTCTAACTAGATTTATATTATTCGTTGTAAAAATGTTAAAAATGTTAAGGAGAGATCCTAGCTGTACAAAGAAATGATCTCACGCAGATCCAGCCGGGATTGGAAGGGAATAATGACTTTGGACACCAATCAAGTAACAAGTCCTCTATTACATTGACAGCAAGAATCATATATATATATATATATATATATATATATATATATATATATATATATATATATATATATATATAGAGAGAGAGAGAGAGAGAGAGAGAGAGAGAGAGAGAGAGAGAGAAGATTGATTGATTGATTGTTTGTATGTTGTTCAACGTCCCATTCCAGTTTTTTCACTCATATAGAGACGTCACCATATGCCGGCGAAGGGCTTCAAATTTAGACCTATACTCGACATTGAGCACTGAGGGTTCTTTATCGTGCCAACACCTACCGTGACACGGGACCTCGATTATTAAGGTCTCATCCGAAAGACCCGTGACTTTCACTTGTAGTGTCGGGCGATTGGCAAAGGAGCAGTCACTAGCCACCACCTATATTTACGTCTTAGGTTGGACGCGCCACGGCGAACGAGAATCGAACCCGGGCCTCCCGATCACGATAGAGAGAAAAGAAATTTACCCTCATGAAATAGGTTTATTATGCTAGGACACTATGTTTGCTTGTTTTTTTTGTTCTTGTCAATCAAAAATGTTAAAATATTAATATTTTTGGGGGGATGTTGGGGAGGAGGGAGGTCTTGGCCGTGTGGACACCTCTCATCCGAAGGGAAAAATTCAGAGATCCGCTGGCCTGTGCTTTTCTTGCAAGGCCGGCAAAGTATTGAGCGTCTGGTTTGCTAAGTTTAATAGATTTGATAGAGCAGTGTTGTTAATCTTTTCTGTCTTTATTCAGGTTACGTAGTCAAAGTCCATCATATCAAATGTTTCAACTGGACCAAAGAATTATCGCCCAGGATGATATTAACAGGGACAGCAAAACAGAACTTCTACAACGCCACAGATGCATTGGCTAAGAGAAAAACCATCAAACTCGATCTACCTTGCAGCTGTAACAATCATTATAAACTTAGAAAAAAGAGAATTCTTCTTGTGACCGACATTGATTTGAAGGTTCCTCACAGAACATTCCACCTCGGGGACAGCCATATCATTCTTCCCTACAAAAAGAAGGCGCTAAAGGATGTAAAGAAGAGGAGAAAGTCAGCGGTTTGCGAGCCTCAGAACTGCGTTAAAAATCGAAGCCGCTATCCTAGCCGCTAGATATCTAGTTGTCTCAGACCGCTATACCTCATCGTCTCAATCCGCTGTCCGGAGTCCGCTTAGAGCTCTTTTTGGCCGTGGTTTGTGACGATGACTCTACCTCAACTAGTCGACAGGTGACAGACATCAGATTTTTGATACAAATGTATTTATATCTCTGGTAATAATTAGTTTTTGAATCAAAATGGGAAATGTATGAATAAATACACATTTCTTTCCACAAAATGAGGAAAAAAAAGCAGTTTATGTTAGAGTCATGTGATGCAGTTATTCCTAATTTGATATTACTGGCAGATTTTCTTTGGTATAAATGTTTTTGTATGTTTTCGTCATATATAGAAAAGAGCAAATACTAGATGAACATCATAGTAAGGGAAATCCAAGGAACGATTTGTATTTTTGTCTTTTAATCATTGTGTTCATTGTACTAGTATTTTTTCCAGTGCATCTGTATGATTTCATTTTGATAATTTTGTAACTAACACTGCCAATTTTTCTGTTTGTTAATTATTATTATTATTTTTTTTATCAATTCCTTGTTAATAAAATTGATGTATATAAAATTGATGCCAGTATTTTTTGATTTTCACGATTCCCTTAGACATGCCTACCATGGAGAGAAAAAGAAGATATGAATAAATGGTGTTACAAAGAACACTTGTCGTCTGCAGGAGGAAGAGGACACGTCATTTCTGGTGATGTAAACATAGTTAATTATGAGGGAGGACCTTAAATCCCTTATTTTAAAAGGGCCAAAATTTAGGGAACTCCATTCTTTCGACTGGCGTCATAATTTTATAAATAATGAATTATGTGGAAGATTACGCCAGGCGATGGGCCAAATACGAAAAAGAAAACCTTGACAGTTTGTTAGAATGGATTAAGAACATCAGATGGATGTTGAAATCTCGTATTAAGCGATTGAGGGTTGTATGAAAACTATTTATTCTTCTGTCTTTAATTTAGAAGTGAAAAAGGAATTAGATAGATTACACGATGAGTATGTACTTGTCCCAGCTGACAAAGCTGGTAACAACATAATCTTTGTTTGTAAGGCGCATTATTTGAATTGTATTTTAGGAGAACTAAATTTTAAATCTACAGATGTAAATCCAACTTACACCTTCCATACCGGCCTTTCTAAGGAGGAAATTCTTCAAAATCATATGTCCGTTTTAGATATATTTAATATTCCTACGATCAAAATGAATTTGAATTACCATTCCTATACTGGATTCCTAAACTTCATAAAAATCCTTTCAAACAAAGATACACAGCGGGTTCCAGTAAATGTTCTACCAAGGCTCTATCTTTTTTCCTCGCTTAAATATTTACTATAATGAAGAAAAAACTCCAGGAGTACTGTACAGCAGTATATTCGAGAAGTGGTATAAATTAGATGTGGATACGTATAAACTTCAAAGAACTTTTTGGAAATTTGAAATTACAAAATTTTACTAAAATCAATAGCACCAAAACGTATGACTTTTCAACCCCTTATACAACCGTTTCCCACGATAAATTGAAGTCCAGGCTTTTTGACATCATACATAGCTGTTTTTTTTCAATAAAAATGGAACTCATAAATATACTAACCTTGTCACTGGTCATTTACAAAATTATTTTCTTAAGAAGCACTCTGATTGTACACACAATACAATGTAGTTTTTGGAGTTCAGGTCTTCCAACAATCTATTGGAATTCTTATGGGCCCCCTTATTAGCAGACCTATTTTTGTATTCATATGTAGCAGAATTTATTCAAAAACTTCTACATGAGAAGAAGAAAACACTTGCTTTGACCCTCAGCTCGACATTTCGATATATCGACGACGTATTATCAATTATCAACAGTTGTATACTTTCATTCATCGACTCAATATATCCCAGTGAAAAGATACCATAGATTCTGGCACATCTGTTTCATATTTAGATATTTTATTAGAAAAAGACGTTAATGATAACCTAACAACAAAGCCTTATGATAAACGTGATGATTTCAACTTTTCAATCGTCAACTTCCCTTACTAATGTAGCAATATACCCTTATCACCTGCATATGGGGTTTATATCTCTCAGTTGATTCGATACGCAAGAGCATGCACTACGTATGAACAATTTCTAAAACGAGGCAAGATATTGACAAACAAGATGATGAAACAAGGATATCAACAGTCTCGTTTTAAATCTGTTCGCAAGTTTTACAGTCGATACAATGACCTTATCAGCACATACAACCTATCATTGAGTCAAATGCTGACTGACGTTTTTCATACTAATTGTTAGGCCATTATTTATACACTGAACTGTCTATGGATTTTTCCGTTTTTCCGCGGGTGTGACCGGGCGGCAGGGGATGCT